AGTTAAGTCGGATTCTTAGAAGCGATTTTGGAAAAGATTCAAAATAAAGGCGAAAAGTACTTACATACGTGCATGCCAAGTCTGACAACTAGAAAGTATCTCTTTGCCTCTGCCAAAACGCGAATTAGATTACAGTTTGCTTTGACACAAATTTAACGGTTTCCATGTGATTGATTTATAAGCGTAAGTAATTTGGCACATTCTTTATATGTACACTTCTCTAAGGATTATAGGGTGTATTGACGCCTTATCAGTATTAGAAGATGAGTTTAGACATGTGCTTTTTATTACAGTGCCGTAAACACCATGGTAGCCTAAAAATAGTTAGTAAGCCCAGAAACAAGTTTTGAGCTTTTTATCCCGCGAAGCCTAATGATGGCAATCATTCAATATCATGACTTTGTAAAGTTACGATAAGAGAATAATAGCGCTATATTCAGCAGCAACTTACACGATAGTCCCATCGTCAGTCCAGAGGAAGATCTGAGGAAACCTGAGTTCCCTTAGACCTTTGGAAATAGGAGAAAGAGAAAAAAAAAGAAAGAATGGGACGACAAAGAGTTGGGAAAGAAAGCGAGACGCAAGGCTAAAACACGGGTAGACAAACCTGTAGCTTGCTAGATCTGGTTCATTCAGAAACTCGCGCAAAAGCATACCATCAGTCATGTACTTCAATACCGTCTTTTCTGACGTGCAGTCTTCGAAGCGGATACTGTAGCCAACCTGAATTCTTTCAATAGCGACTAGATGTCAGAATTCCAAGTTCTATGGGGGAAAAAAACCTGGACACACTTGCATGCCCAGTTTACATCCAACTTCCTCAGCTACTCTAGCTGCGACAGACATAGCAGCAACACGGCGCGGCTGCGTGCATCCGATCTTTTTGCCGTCCTTGCAAAATCCCTAAAGCAGTTATATGAGCAACAAGTGAACAAAGAATTTTTTAGAAAAACTTACAGCTTCATAGAGGTATTGTGGTAGCTGAGTAGTTTTTCCAGAGCCCGTTTCACCTTCAATTATCAGCACCTAGATATAGCTATAAAAATGAGACAAAAGAGAAAACATTATGCAATCAGATGGATGATACCGCCACCTGGTGCTCTTTTACAGCTTCAATAAACTGCTCCCGGAAAGCATAAACTGGCAGGGATCGCCTTGTTTCTTCCAGTGTCATCTTCCTTTTCTGGGCTGCAGTGATTTCCTCAGCCTGAGCCGTTCAATAAGTACGATATAACACACAGTTTATAGCGGAGGAACTACCTGTTGTTTCTCGAGAGTACCAGGCATTTGAAGAGCTTGGATGAAGTCGATTTTGTCATCAAGGAGTAGGTCAAACTCCTCTTGTTTCTAAATTGCAAAATCAGATGAGGATTTGAGAGGAAGTGCAATTATCGCAAAAAACTCAAAATGTGCTTACAAGTTTTGCATCCTTCGCTCCATAGGTAAGCATACTTGCCAGCAGCTGTTCCTGCTCCCATTTCGCACCATCTCCTAAAAAAAAAAATGTAAGGAAACAAAGCACATGTACATCCACACGGTCGTCCCACAATTTGTTCATGGTATTCCTTTCATTTGAACAGAGACTTCCAAAGGCCTTTTCTGGGTTAAAAATAAAAGGGAAAAGGTAGCGACCAGCTTAGCTTATTATTAGGTACTAACATAAAATATTAGAAGAAGTAACTGATCATTTATCTGTCGAGAAAAAACTTCCAGAAGTTGAAGAAAGTGTTTGACGGTAAAATTTGGGAGGGGGGGGGGGGGG